TGGATAATACAATGTTCTGTAGACTAAGTGATCCATTTACCTGTAGCAGTACCCGCTCTCTGCATCGCAAGTCAAGAAACACTTAGTACTCCATGGATGAGATTTTCCTCGAAGAAACTGCCGCATGGGGTTGAACTTGCTACTCATCGGTATCATTCCTTCGTCGAAGGCGATTCGTTGCCCTACTGTCATCCCCAGCTTGAACGTTGCGTTGATCGTGTCCGCGACAGGCTTAATCTTCCACGTCTTGAACTTGACAGCGTCAGGATGACTGTTGTCGCTAAAATGCAAGAATCGTACGATCTCTTCGAATCGCTTACGCGACATGTATCGCCCAAATGTGACTTTAGGAACCGCGCCTTGTACATCCACCGCCCAATGCTTCGACAGCTTCTCATGGTGCGGGGCAAAGGTTCGGGCACACAGTTAACCAATGAAATGTACCAGCTCATGCGCTTGTATTGGCTTGAACGATCGTTGCTCAGCCTGGACTTGCTGTACAGTTTTCATCTTGTACTCAGGTCGCCTCAGCTTGAGCTGTCGCTGTCGTGCCATTATTTCGTCCGCTGCCTGCGTTCGATAATGAAGCTAGTACCGATTTGATTCCGTAGCGATAGACATCCACATCGATTTAGGCAGGAACAGGAAAAACAATCCTTCCAAGTTACTCCCCAGTGCAGTAGCCAACTCCGTAGGTGTGGCGAAGCAGCGTGTAAGCTCTGCCGATGGCAGCTGAAGGGAAGCGCCTACATAGCAACGATATATGGGTATTAGTGTCGAGTACAGGATAGCCGAAGCAAAGGACACTCTTTATCCTGTATAGTACACGAAAGCACTCACATGAATCTTCGAAGTAGGTCGTCCAGCCTGTTTTCGCGTGTTCGCTCAGCTGGTCCTTGTTCATCTGGTCGAATGGAGTTCCCGCTGAGAGATCGACTGCATCTTCCTCATCGCTGGTGTTTTCTTCCTCTTCACCAGCAAAAGTTTCAATTGTACCTTCAATGTCGGACTCATCGCCTTCATCGACTTGGAAGTCGTCCTCGTCACCAGAGCTTAAACGGTCATCACCAACAGATATGTCCACTTCTGCTGCGCGAACAGTACACGACCGTAGTGGACGTAGTGACGGTATAGGAGACGCAGCGACCTCTTTACGCGCACGTTTCTTTCTTGGCGTCTGGCCCTTAGCAGGAGCTTGGGCGGGGGATTAGCCGGCGACTTGGCTGGCGTATTGGTGGGTGACTTGGCAGACGTCTTTTCAGCTGACTTTGTAGGCGTCTTCTGAGGTGACTTGGCAGGAGCTTTGGCAGGTGTCTTCGCAGGCGACTTGGCAGGTGCTGTCGCAGGCGACTTGGCAGGCGACTGGGCAGGTTAATCACGGGAGAGTTGACTGGCGGCTCGGGGGCACCCAGTGGAATTGATAGAGGGGAGCTCGTAGTGGCGTGTCGTTTGGCAGGCGGCATGTCATAGATAACTGTGATATGAGTTAATAACAATATAACAAAATCAAAATGAGCCGATTCGTACCATCAACTGGCACGTGTTGCCATACTTCGTCAGCTCCGTCAAAATAGTCGACAAGGTGTGTTGCGTTTGGCCTTTTCTTCCATCCATCAGGTGTAAAGTAGCGATTCTCGGTAGCTAGCCCCTTGGGTCGCTCAAATTGCCACCCTAGCTTCTTGAGTTTGGTCCACAGTTGTCCCCATGTAAGTCGCCGAACTTTTGGTTTCTGCATGGGGCTCCCCCCCCCCCCCCCTGGTCTAAATCGTGAATGGCGCGAACATTGGCGCGCTCTCTAAATCTCTAAAAATTTCTGACCACGAATTATAAGCCCGAGGTTAGCTACATCACTGTCAAACTTTATATTTGGCAGCATCACTTGAAGTTTGTATAGTTGTACTTGAATTAAGTATGAGCCCGATTTGCCAATAACCTTATCCTGTAGAATACAGAATGCGAAACTTTTTATCCTGTAGAATACAGGAAGCGGGGCTAGAGGGGTTAAGCGTCGCTAGCGTGCTTTTTCTTACCGCAATATACTTCAAACCTGCATATATTCAGCAAACAAGACACAAAAATGTCAGACAAAACTGCATAATGCACGATAGTGAAAAGCCGCTTCAAAGCAAATCAGACCTGATGCAGTACGCTGCGACTGCGCTGCATAGCATGAAGAGCTTGGTGCCCCACTTGTGGGCTTGTTCTTCATGTAAACGCGCATCTTATTGAAGGATGACCGACTGGGTAAGACTGCTTCGTCGAACGCCAAGTGTGATGGCGCAACGTATCCACGGAGAAAGGTGCGCTGTAAGACTTCTACCAGCTTGCGGATCTTCCAGGCGCGATCTGTTTGAGCCCTGGGGTCGTTGTTTGAGTTGAAATGAAGATTGCGTGAAATTTCCATGAATCGGTCTCTAGACAGCACTGAGCCGAAACACCCTCGTGAATTAGCGCCCTCATCCGTTGTCTTCCAGTGATTAGCAAGTTTTCTCTGTTCGGAGCAATTGTCCTTGCCACCAATAGTCCACTAAACTGGCACAGTTCGTGTGGTAAGATAGGCTTCATGCCTTCCAAGTCGTGCTGAATATCTCGCCTTGTTTTTCTTGGTAACTGTGGGTTCAACCTCCGCTTCCGGCGATATCGCTGAATTGTTTCGTCAATACGACGTGGTAGCATCTCCCAGTGATAATCCGTCGAGCAAGCAGCAATGTGCTGCCACAATACAACAGGAAGAAAGTAAAAGAAGAGTCCAATTGGAGAGTCTCCTCTGCGCAAAACGTCTGCAGTTGGACCCGAGCACCCTTGGGCGAAGGCAAGGATAGCTTGAAGTATTGTCGACGGGGTCGTACGGGCCCTGCATGTACTCAGCAGTATCAGGTTCAATGACATCCTCCCAGTCAATAGCAGATATATCACGCATGACAGCGTTCTTTAGGTTTCCAGCGAGAGCCTCATCCTCTCCACCAAAACTATCAAGAAAATATCCGCGAAATGAGCCTCTGCAGTGATTTCGTTTTCTGTCGCGACCAGATAATCACCAATGTCCTCAGATGCACAATCCATTCCCGCCTCTTCATCCGATACACACTCTCCAGTCTCTATGTCATCAACTTCCGCCTCATCACCCGAATCCAAATTTCCAAACTGATGTTCAATGGCGTGATCAGCAACCGCGTTCAAATCATCGGTGCTATCGGCAAGCAGCTCGCTACCAAGAGCTGAATCTTCTTCGCCCTCATTAGCATCATCTAAAGAGCAGCACATAACTATGTCAGTATTCGGATTAACAGACATCATACTATGCAGTATATAATGCAGCGTAATATGCAGAGCACTATGCAGTACGTTATACTGCAAAGTATTCAGCATAGCATTCAATATACAATGCAGCATACAGTTTCTGGTTGGCGTTTGTGCTGGATGTGTGGAGTTGCTGCCGCTGATGTTATCAGATTCTACTGCTTCTTCAGATGAACAGTCGGCGTCTTGACCGTGTGGTGACGTCGGGATGAGCGGAGAGCTTGGCTGGGTACTTCTAACTGGAGATTTGTCATAGGACTTGGAGTATTCATCGCGCCGGCGCTCGCTGTGATGGTAGATTCATGTACGGGGACGGGAGGCACACCGGTAGCTGGCTGATTTGTGGGGACTCGTTGAGAAGTAGCAAGTCTGAGCTCGAGCTCTTGCTTCTGCTGCTTCGATATCAGCAGCGTAGCTTTCACGTACGATAGCTGCGGCAGCAGCTAGTTGATCGTCTCCAGTAGCACTGGGTAGGACACCTACCGCGTTGCGTCGCAGCTCTACAAGCAACAAACTTGGTATTAGACATAGTAGCAAGCTATTCAACTGCAAGTAATACACACACCTTTTGCGTAATGCTCCAATACTACTTGTTCACCACGGAAGTAATCGACGCCTTCGCTCCCCTTCACTTTCTTACCGGGAGGCATATAAAAGTAGCGGTCATCGAGACTGCGCCCCGAAGGTGGCTTTCGTGTCCACCAGTCCTTCTTCAGCTCTCTCCACACCGACTGGAAAGATAAGTCGCGTGCGGTAACTTCGCAGTCTCGCGGCACTTTGCCTCGGACTCTCACCATCCTCCTGCGTCTTTGGTCCTCGGGACGAAAAATCTCGAATGAGAGACATTTGGAAAAGGCGGCGATCGTCGTTGGCTGTGCACCACTCACTGAGTGGGATCAGCCCGTTACCTCCGGTATGTAATACAAATCATCTAGATTTACAAAAACCTCGCAAAGTTGATCTTTAGATTTAGACAAATGTTGCCCCTTTTAGCCTCTTAAGAAAAACAAAACGTGCTAGCTTAATTGAGGTGACCACTGAATAATAGAAAAACGTGAACGGAAGGAACTAGAGCTACAGTACCTGGCGGCTCTAGATCGGGTGGAAAAAAATCTTAGAAAAGGCACAGATGTAGTACAGTAGTAAAAAACTACTTAGTTCTGTATTACAAATGTAGTACATGTAGTGTACATGGAGGCTTAAAATCTTTCGGAGCAAAACAATTAATTCAGTTTAAAATCTCCCAAATTGCTATTAACCCCTCGAAACCGGGTGCGGCATAATGCAGGATTACCATTTTCGTTAAACTGAATATATTCAGTTTAGCGACTTTTAGACTTAAAGTTTGTAAGACGTGTATTTTCGCTCTCCACAAGGTATACAAATTTTAAGACAGCCAGAATGCCTGTTTCCGTGTGCGTGGCATCTATTTTGGCAAGCTCGTGTGGGCTTTCACTAAGCTGTAATATTTTTTTATGAAGTGATGGCCACTCAACTCTCAGCAGCATCGGCAAATAAATTTTACTGATAAGTTTTTTAAGGGAAACCGATTTATTTGACACCGCAAACAAACCTTGTTTATCTTTACGAGTCAAATAAAATACTTCGAAGTAACATCTTTTAAAGCTTACTCACCGCAAGAATTCCGGCTGAAAAACATCTTTCGTTTAATTTGACACGCATTACATGCAAAAAGCCTACTAGCAGATTAGGTGGCAGAGATCTGCTTCGTCCACAACGTCGTCGAACTCGTCTCCATAGCCACAATCGTCTTCCTCGGCTGTTATCTCGACAGGTAAAGTCATAATTCCTGCTCCGGGAGTGTTGTTCCTCATGATTTTTCCTCGCAGTTGCTTCTTCTTTTTCGTAGGGTCTACAGCATTTACTCGGGGCTTCTTTGACTGTGTTTTTCGTCGTAATTGCTTGCGTGTCTTCATGGAGGGCGGGATGGTGAAGTTAATGTCAAGAAAAGACATGTCCCCGTCGTCCTCACTACTACCTTCGCCTCCTTTTGAGGGTACAGACTCGGCTTTACGGGATTTCGCAGCTGAAGATTTTCGACGCGACAGTAATTCACGTCGACTTGAAGACGTCGATGGAGGTTGCGACTCGGATTCGCTTGTTGTTGCCGCGATCTGCCGTCGTCTGGTCTTCTGACGAACACAAAACTTGATGTGAAGGCGGATGTGTCTTTCTTCTCGAGCCATTGCAAGTCGTTCTCGTTCTTCACGTCTCTGATCAGCTGTCGCCTGTCGAATTTTCCCCTCTCTTGCACGCCGGCGAAAAACTCGAAGCTGAAGACGAACAGCCTTCTCCTCGCGCTCCATTAAGTTGCGTTCATTTTTTTCATTCTGTATAATAAAATCAGTTAAGAAGCTATCAAGGAACATGCTTAAAAACGCTTTACATATCTTACCTCGGCTTCGCGTTTAAGCCTGAGTTCAAGCTCCTGCTGACGTTTCTCCATGGCTCTTCGAAGTAGCATCTTCTGCTTAAGTTCCTCTTGTCGACGTAGACGCTCTTCCTTCTCTAATACACCGTCATCATCCGTCGAGCTGGGATCATCAACGTCACTTTTTGATGATGGGATCACCACAGGACTCAATCGAGCTGGACAGGGTTTCTGATGGGGTCTCTTCTTGGGTGTCCAGCTTTGGTTTATGAGTCGCAAGTCGTCTTCAAATGGATCTCCACGGTCTAACGCCAACATACGCTTGGGCACTGGTAGCACTGGAAGTCGTTTATCAAAGCTAGCCCCCGCTGGAAGCCAGTACGATCGCTTTATTGCCGGCTCGACGGTAGGTTGCCATCCCAGTCCCGTCGCAGATCGAACCAAAGCCCTTCCGAGCTTGTCATGACTTGCAACCGAGAAGGAAGCTGCTCGTGTGGTGCCAATTCGACCTCGATCTCCGTCAAGTTTCTGCTTTGACGCCTCAGAATCTGTCTGTCTACTGCTAAGGACTGAGCTGTGAGATCGACTTGTTGGTACCGACTTGGGATGAGCTTTCTCTTGCTCTTTTTCCATCCTCATTCTCGTCAAAAGCCCTCGAACATGAGCTTGTAGTTTAGCGATAGCGTCCACGTCCGAGATACGGAGCCATCGCAATTGTCGGCGGACCAGACACCCACGCATGGCCGCCTGAATGCGGCAGATCAAGTACAGCACGTCCAGATAGATGAGTCGAGTCATGAAGCTCCGCGCATTGCATTGAATCACAACAGCTGCTCGGTGTTGACGTTCTGCTTCGTGCCGCTTGCCTCGCTCTTCTTGGACATACGAGCGAGCAGCAATCATACGAACTATACTCTGGATACTACAAGCTGCCGAATATCTGCGCGTGATCTCTTTCGCGCGTATATTTCTTGCCGAACATCTTCGAATGCATCTTGCGATAACTTCTGATGACAAGTTTTGTTCGTGCTCTTGACGCTGCAATCGTAGTCTGCCACTCAATCGTCGAGCTAGAAATCCACGAGACAACGTTTGGATACACACAGCAGCCTCTCGTTTCTGCTGGTCTACATAAGTCTGATGACGGCGATAAGCAGCTTGAACTCTTGAAGCGGCATAGTTCAGTCGATTCCGAAGACGCTTGGCCTCTCGAAGCTGTTGACGATGTAGATTCTGAGTGATCTCGGTGATTTTCATCATCTGTTAAGTTACCAAACACAAGTCACTCATCAATAGTTTAGTACTGGCAGAAAGATGTTACCTCATCGTCGATCTTCTGTTGCTGTTTCTCGATCGCATTGGCTTGTCGTTCCAGCTTCCGTTCTGCTCGCTCTTTGGCTGCAGAAGCTGCTGTCAACGTTGTATCACGGAAGTTGCCATGATGACGCTTTGTAAACTTGTTCGAGATCCCTGGAAGAGGACAATCTGGTTGGCTTTCCGTTTAAAAAATACGAGTAAAGGACACTTCAAATGTACCAGCATGGAACATTGGCGGGACGACGTTCATGCTCGAGCCATCCTCTACACGCTCCATCTTCACACTTGATATTGTCTTGTCGAGAGAAGGCAAAGCTTAGCTTTTTACAAATAGCCAAAAATACGCTTCCGTCCGTCAAGAAATTGGCAGTGCACCAACGCTCACAGTCTGAAGATAACTCTAAAAAAGAAAAGTATTAGATGTCGAGATTCTGATTAACCTTGGGTGATTACTACGAGTTGAGCCAGTATGAAAGACGTCAATAAGGCACGAGCTTCCTCCTTCTCGGTCTCAACGAGAGTCTTCCCCGTCTCTTTCCACAATGTGATGCGGGCGTCCAGCGAAGGAATGCTCATAAACACATCAGCATCTCCCTGACCCTGTGAAATGTAGACCTGAGCTTGAGGATCGTGCTGAGCGCATTACAAGTCATAAACTGTCAGAAGATACCTCGCCTCGCTGTCTCGAATAGACCTACCGTTTTGACTTGCTTCTCCAGCTTCTCTTCGTCCACTTGGCCCATGAGCAGGTTGCTCTTTTCCTTGTACACAATGCTCTGGAGTGTACTGCCATCTGAATTCGAGGAAGTCGTGCGCTTTCCTGTATTCTTCAGCGTTGAGTCACCGGCGACAGGATGAACGGGAGGCTCCAGCACAAATGCCTTCCGCTTGACGCTCAGCACGCCACTTACATACGCAGCAGCTTTCCCGTTTACGTCTGTGATCGTGGCCTGAGCAGCCAGCTATACTCAAACATTTGTATCAGCAATTGACAAGGCACTTAGATCACATAGCAATGAAATACCTTGGGGTCGAGTCTTCCATCGAGATACTTGGATGTTTTCTCGACAGCGATTGGTTCAAACTGCTTCATGGGGAACGTCAGCAACTCCGTCTTGGATTTTGCAGCTGTAAGCTCGTGGAGAGGAAGAACGCGCGAGAAGTGCGACGACATCTCAGCTCCGTCCACCAAAGTACTTGCAGGCGGCGCGACGGTGTATTCATACGGGACGATGAGGTTGTGGGGGCAGCACCGTGCGATGAACTGGTTGGCGTCGCCACAGCTTAAGCGCGGGTCAATAGGACACGAAATCTTCTCAATCGGGAGGTCCTGGAAAGGGGCAAAGGCTTCAGTATCGTCGACAGAAGGATCTACATCAACAATATCATTAGACCCTGAGTGTATCCATGGACGTTAGTGTGGGTGAGTACCTATTAGAAGAACGGCGTTGCGACTCTCGTTGCCAAGCATCTGGATTAACTCTGGAGCGCGTCCAAACTTGAGAGAAGGGTGGCTGACGAAGAGAATGCTGCCATTCTACATACAATCACACAGTTAGTTCGCAAAATAATCACTTAGAGTTCTCAAGTTAAGAGAAATGTACCTGGAAAGTAACAGCTGTGGCAGCTGAAACGTCAGTGACAGCATGGAACACGTTGTTTTTCAGTAGAGACTCGTGTAGGAAGGCATCTTCGCCAGCATATAACTTGTCGATCTTCTTTTCGCACAGCCACTCTGCTCCGAGCTGCGTCAGCTCCATCACACGCGCAGCATGGTCCGAGATAAAGTACATGGGGACGTTCTGTTTGTTGTGAACACACGCTGCATACACAGCCTCCACGAGATCGAACACGACGCCACACGGAGACGTGGGCATGATGCAAACGCCACCGCGTTCAAGCACCCTCGTCACTCCACTAAGTACGCGCTCCACCATGCGTTCCGTGTTGGCGTGAGGGTCGCGATCAGGCTTTAAATCCGTCAGCAAGAGCGTCTCACAGTCCACAAGAGGCAGCAAGTCCAGTTCCTTTGGGTGACGATTGAAATCTCCCGATGCTGCAGCCACGTACGCCAATTTGTCGTTTGGTCCTTCCACGAGCCAAATACTGGCCCCTAGACTAAATCCCGAGCTCAGAGCTGTAATCTGCACACCATAGGCTAACGAGACCACCTCACTGTACTCCACACATCGAATTTTCCGGCAACATTTCTCGATCTCCTCGACTGAGAACATGGGAATATCGTCGGCCACCCCTTCAAAAGTGAAGATAGCTGAGTCTTCTCCTTGACTCAGAGCTGCTAGCTCCTTTAGAAATACTCGGCCGAAATCGAGAGTGAGCTGTGTGGCGTAGATTTCCCCTTTGAAACCGAAAATTTCGGTTAAAAGTGGCAAGGCCAGAAGAGTTTGATGGTTCGACAGCAGCACCACGTCCAGAGCCCCAACGTCGACGGAGCTCAGCGCTGGTAGTTGCAAGTGGTAGACAGAGCCACCGCCTTGTTTGGAGCTTCTTTGTAGCGACTGCATTTTGACCCCGCAGTCCAGAAGCATTTCAAAGCCGCCGAAGCTCAAAAAATGGCACAAACCATCGTTCGCGCCTCCTAGCCGGATCTGTACAGGGTCGTTGGAGAAAATAAAAAGAGAGTGAGAAACAGGAGATGAAGGGCTACTTGGGGATGCTGAACGTGTTTAATAGTGGTCGCTGAAAGAGTGGGGAGAGGGCCCGCTGGACGACGGTGTCTTACCACTTTCATAACAATTGGAATAATAACCTTGATTTCTAATGAATGTCAATTTGAATTTCTAAGCTAATTGCGATATTACATTATCCTTGTTGGATTTCGTGCCTCCACTTTGATCTGTAACTCAGTCAGTTTTACGAGTTAGCCGATGCTATTTATATATGCTATTTCTATCGCCAAACGCAGTTTGGGACCTGTTTTAACGCATAAGATATCGTAGTTTAGAGATGGGCTAGTATAGAAGCGACCGTTTTTGTCGTTGCGACCATTATTTAACCACTTGTACCCATACAAAAAAGTAAGAAATAATGATGGTCAATGTGGCCCAGCCACTCATCGGAGGCAGGCTTGTGTGATGCCATTTCGGTTCGAGCGCTGCCATTCCTAGTGTTATGGGGAGAGGGCCGCCACTATCGGACGAGGAAAAGGGGCGAATCCAAGGGCTCTATGAAGGACGGTCCAGCCTACGAGAGATTGAGCGGCGAACTACACGCTCGCGAGGTGCCATACATCGCGTCCTGTTCGAAGATGAGCCAGAGCGCAAGAAACCCGGTCCCGCAAGCCAGAGCGCAAGAAACCCGGTCCCACAGCTGCATTGTCGGACCGGGAGGCTCGGGTCCTGCTGCTAAGGGAGATCTCTCAGCTCGACAGCTCAAGAGCGAGCTGAATTTGTTGGTGTCAGTCCGCACAATTCAGCGTGTACTCTCCAATGTAGACTGGCTAATCTACACTAAAATGGACAGCACATTGATGCTCTCCGCTGAGGACAAGGAAGGCAAGGGAAGATTGGGCGTGGGCAAGGGTCCTTAACACGGATGCTGCTGGATCGTGGGAGTTCATCATCTTCTCAGACGAGAAGAAGTGGAATCTTGACGGACCCGACGGCTTCCAGACCTACTGGAGGGACATCCGCTGCCCTTCTAGGCAGACCAAGCGACGCCAAGCTGGTGAATGGTCGGTAATGGTGTGGGAGGGCATCAGTGCCGCAGGAAAGGCCGAGCTGGCGGTGCTGCATGGGAAGTAGAACTCGGACGACTACGTCTACACAGTCTCCGAGTATCTGCTTCCGTTTGCCCACCTGCACTACGGCACTGACTTTCCAGCAAGACAAGACGGTGCATCCATTCACCGGTCTAAGAGGACTAAAGAGTTCTATAACGAGCAAGATATGCACGCTCTTCACTGGCCTGCTAGGTCGCCAGATCTTAATCCCAGTGCAAACCTGTGGTCAATCATGACAAGACGTGGGCTCTCCCGGGTTATGGCCCCACATTCAGATTAACCTAGATTCTAGTTTTAAGCTATTGCAAATTAAAGCAGCTAGATCTTCTGAGGTAGCACAAGGTCTGAGCCCCACATTCAGAGAATAAATTCACTTCGCCACGTTGAAGTAGAATACAAAACCTAATATTAAAAGATTCCCCCCCCACACACACACACAAGGAGTGAGGCGGGAAAATAACAGAGAGAGTTTTGGCGCGAGGCGTCGCACCAAAACCCTCTCACTTTCAAACTTCCCAGACCCCGGTAGCCCAGACCCCAGCTCCACCATGCCAATCAAGCCCACCGCCACCTCGGTGCCTGCCCACGTCTACCCCGTCCGGTAGACGTCGAGGCTGCCCGTGGGGTGAAGAACGCCACGTTCGACGGAGTGATTGACATTACATCAAGCGCTTCGTCGAGCGTGGCCTGGGCCATGTCGGTCCATTTGCTAGCGCCGTCACTGCTGTGTCCGAAGTGCACCACGTCCATGCGGCTAGACGTGGAGCACGAGCGGTGGCGGTGCTCGCGAGGGGAAAAACTATGGAGCTCGAGGTTTCGGAGCTCGTGGTTGCAAGAGAGGATCCATGAAACCTCAAATGAGTTATTGTTGGTACGTTACACTTGAAATATTAACATAAAAACTTTATTTATTATTATTTGTACTTGAAGAGGAAAGCAATAATTTCTAACCTGAAAACAACTTATCATCCTGTGGTCCTGTGCATCTATTTTTATCGGGTCACCTTGATTCCACGGAGGCAAACACTCACTTTAAAAATGCAGTCTGCGCAAACTGACTCGACAATCACGTTTGAGATCCCTGTACTATCTGAACAAGAGTTTGATTCTTTTGATGACGCTGAGCTCGCTCTTCACACGTGGAACAAACGGCATGGACTTGATGTGACTCGGGCGCACAACAACAAGAACAAGCTCAAGGTGATACGCCAACGAGACTACCAGTGCGACCGCTAGGGTAAAACACAAAATAATCGAGGTCTCAGAGAAAATGAGCGAGTTCGGACTGCGCGTGGAACCAGTAAAACGAGCTGCTCTATGAAGATCCGTCTAGAAGCTGTCGACCCCAACAATTGTGCGGGAAAATGGAAAATAATTCACTTGAACGGTTCAAAATTGCACCACCATCCAGCATCTCGTGATCCAAGCGTCCACCCAGGGCACCGCCGTCGTGATTTAGAGCGACACATTACTGGTCAAATTTCGAGCTCGGATTTGGTTGCTTCTCAATCGGCTGTCGGGGTTTCTCCGGAGGTCGTTATGGCAACTTTGCTACATGCTGATCCCGCTTCCTCTGTGACGTCAAAGGACATTGCTAACAGAAAAAAATTCCGACCGACGTGAGGAATTATCAAACGACACACCGACTGAAGTTCTTTTGAAGAAGCTAGATGGGAATAATTTTTTCTATAAGTACGAGATCAACCCGGACACTTCTCGGCTGCAGTACCTCTTCTGGTCACATCCCGATATTCGCCAGTTTCACAAGTTGTTTTCGAACGTGTTAATTATGGATTGCAGATACAAAACCAATCGATACGACCTTCCTTTACTGAACATCATCGCCATGACGAATATGAACACAGTGCTACCTATTGCACAGTGCTGGCTTCCCGGTGAGACCGAAGCAGAATTTACTTGGGCTTTCACACAACTCTTCGAGTTATTGACATCCAATGGTGTTACGAGTCCTTCCGTAATTCTAGCTGATCGCGCTCTTGCCTGTATGAATGCTATCGACTTTAAGTTTCCAAACGTACCTGCGCTCATCTGCCGGTGGCACATGAATCGAAACGTGTTGGCCAAGACCAGAGCGGTTTTCGGTTAAGTCGAAGTCGTAAACCCAGCACCTGGTCAGGACAAATTTCAAAACAGTGTAGTCACAGATCAATTTATGGAATTGTTTCACAACACGGTTGATTCGACTGATGGGTCGACATTTGAAGAAAATCGGAAATTGATTTGAGCGATGAGCTCGAAACTTGCGGAATACTTGGAATTACACTGGTGGAAATACAAGGAGAAGCTGGTTGCATGCTGGACGTTCCAATACTTGCACTTTGGATACCGAGACACATCGGCGGTAGAAGGTAGCCACGCCAAATGCAAAGCTTGACTTGAGACGTCTCGAGGAGACTTGTACAAGGCGTTCGCAAAACTGCTTCCCTGGTGGAAAACGTGCATACGTAACGTGAGCCTCGCTACTGAAAGGGACGTCTCTAAAATACCTCACGCACTACAAGATGATCGCTACTCTGCGGTGGTGCTGCTTGTAAGCAGATTTGCGCCCCGTGAAACAGAGGCTCTTTGGAAGGAAGCCTTGCGAATAGTCAGGAGGGGACTACACACAGAGCCATGTTCAGGAACCTTCAAACGTACGAGAGACAGACCTTGTGTCCATGACTTGATTGTTCTGATCAAGTCTGAACGTCAACAAAAATTACTCTTGGAGCAATTTCATTGGCACTGGTTGACGTGGAGAGGCCGTGATCAAGAGCGAGAAAGAAGAGTTCTAGAGCCTGCACCAGCACGAGGTAGCAGGCTTAAACACCGCAAGACGTCAAGCCACAAGAAGAACCACGGAGACTCTGGTACAGCTCGAGAACCCACACTGAGTGAGCGAATCGACCAAAATTATCCTGCTTCACCCCCGTCGCTCCTAGCAAACGTCACTTTCCAACCGATACTTCCGGCACTTTCGACAGTACTTGCTAGTCAAACACAGAGTGCTGAGGTCGATCCAACCATAACTGATAAGAAAGTCGCTGTATGCGCTTCCGGTGTGGGTAACAGAGTTCCACACCCAAAAGAGAAGATCGCATTAGAGAGGGCACGCTTCATGCAGTTGTGTGATATTCATACGCTAATAAGCTTTTTTTGCTCAAATGGGTTTCATCCTAAGCTTGGTTCGTAATTCTCTGAACCGATGCTTGTCTAAGGCTTTAGTGAAGATGTCAGCAACCATTTCTTTTGTGTTGCAATAGTCGACGGTGAATTCGTGTCGTTCTACCTTTTCGTGTACAAAACACTATCGGGTGTGTACGTGTTTCGATCTCCCATGCAGTTCTAGATTGTAACAGATCATGATGCAGCTCTGACTGCCCGTATGAATATTATTTGCTTTGGTTGTGGCAAAGCCTAGCTCTTTGAGAAGCAGCTTGAGGAATATCATCTCTTGCATGCAGTGGCAAAGGGCGATGTATTCTGCCTCTGTTGTTGAAAGTACCACCGTGTGGTGCTTGCGTGAGATCCATGAGATTAGTCTATTTGCTAACATAGTGACATATCCACCGACAGATCGTCTCGTGTCGGGACAGTTAGCGTAGTCAGAGTCACAGTACTCTGTCAAGCTATTTGCTAGGTTCTGTGATATCAGTTGATCCGCCAAGAAGAAGTCCGTAGCTCTTTGTACCTGAGAGATACTTGAGACCTCGAACGACAGCGCTACAGTGCTTCTTTCCTGGATTAGCTTGGAATTGGCTAACCTCGCGTAGATAGAATGCCATGTCAGGACTGGTGCCTACCATAAGGTACATAACACTACCAACTGCTTCACGATACGGAATGTTTTTCATCGCATCTTTCTCTGCATCATTGCTAGGTTGACTGCTTGAGGAAAGTTTAACGTTCCTCTCTGCTGGGGTTGCAATCGGGTACGGAATGTATTCGCTGAAGCGGTCAAGGACCTTCGTAGCGTACTTGTGTTGTAGGATAAAGATATTTCAGTTCTT